AACCAAAATAGCACTTCTGATGATTTTTTAAAAGGCCTTCAAAGCTAAAAATATCAAACTTAAATTTGATTTATAGTGTAGTGATTTTTTTTCCAAAAATTTAATTGAAAAAAAAGGCATTTTATTTATTGTTTATTTAATTAACAAACAATTTATACTAAATTTGTATAGTTTATATGCATGCAGTATGTTTTGATAATAAACTAAAAAACCACATACCATTTTATTGCCCTCATTTTTTTCATAAGCTAAAACATTATATGCAAACCTAGGATGATATTTTATTTCCATCGGTATAAAAGGCACAGAAACTCGTTGATACGAAATAAACTCGTCATCTGACTGAAAAATATATTGATGGAATTTGGATATCAATATATACTTTTTATTATCAGCACTGCTTGAAAAAAAATCAGTCACAACAGCTTGTGTTCCATTAGGAAGAATAAGATCTTTTGTTATATTTTCAAAAGTTTTACCATAATCTCGTGAGATATAAAAAAAACTTGGTCTTAAACTGCTTAGCATAAAATCAGGATCAGTCATAAGAATTAGAATTGCTGAACTATTGCTTCCTGACCAATGAACTTTAGCAATGTAATGATTATCATTGAATGAAAACTGTAAACAAATATTAAAATTATTTCATATAAAAATTACCAAAGTGCGTCTATAAAAAGACAACATAAAAATATAACATACTGGAGTGCTTTGAGGAGACGCAATTCCTGCACTTCGTATAAAACGACGAAAACTATTTGCAATATAATTTTTTGATGGAGAATCGTACTCCTCGTTATCGTTAATTTTAATGTGAAACTTTTCACGGTTGCCATTATTCCTTTGCAGCAAAGATGGATTGATAGAAAGATGACTTGCCTTTGATAAATCTACAGTTACTAACTCGTATACTATAATAAAAACTAAAAAATATTTAACTGTTTTATCCAAAACTTTGCTGATGTACGCCATTTTTATGTTTATTTATTAAATCACTTTGTTTCACTTTGGCCCTTGTTTTGAGTACGTCATTGTTTTCTTCGACTCGTGATTGAACTCCTCCGGCAAATATTTATTTACAAAAATCAATTACGTTTAATTCTCAACAGTGTTTAAGATACTTCTAGATACCATTGTTTCTCAAATTATAATTTAAACCATCTCCGCATAAATTATAAAGAGCATACTGCGATGGAGAGAACTACGATGTAAATCAATAATGTATCATTTATGTTTCAAAAGTTATATATCGTATGCTTAAACTCATTTGATTTTAAACTTTTCTATTAAGGATTTTGTTATTTAAGTGTAAATTATATATACAATATAAAAATATAATTTTAGATCAATGAGTTTTAAAGTGAATAGTTTTTTAATAATTTACTGCGACGGGTGTCGACTTTGTTTCTTATGAAATATAACGATAAAGTAAGATCAAAAAACATTTGCGGGGAATTTTTCGGTTATGGACAAAATCAGTAGCTTGCGTTGTTATGTTGTTATGGACAAAATCAGTAGCTTGCGTTCTTTTTCTAAACTTAGTGCGGGACATAAGCGTACATTAATAACAAAATCACAAATTAGTTTTTGATTTTAGTAATCATAACTTTAATGTTATATAATCCGATGTTGCTCAAGAATGTAACTATAATTTAAAAAAAAAAATCTCTATCGACTGGAATATATATATAGGTCCTTTGCCCCTCCCTTTTTTCCTGGCTTTCTAAATGACTTTTCGCTATAATTGAATAAGTTTGTGCATAAATTATTTCAGTCAAAAATTTCAAATTTTTTTGCAGTAAAAAATTACGATATTACTCCTCCAAGTTTGCAAAATTTTTACACGCATTTAATGCATGCTCAAAAAAAGTTTAAATATTTGCAAATTTGGAGGAGTTATGACGTAAAAATTTTAAACTTGAGACTGAAAGTGGTTTCTGAAATGGCACTTAAAAATTCAATAGAAAATGGTGAGTTAATCAGAAACAGCCGGTGTAGTATGAGATTTTTACTCCCGCGATTTTTTACTCCCCAGTGAAAATCTCATATTAAATTTTTACTCCCTAGTAAATATCGAATATGAAATTTTTACTCCCATTATGAGATTTTTACTTCCATAAAATATTTTGCTGCAAAATGTATTTTTGCAACTAAACCGCGTTGTATTTTGTGAATACTTTTAAACGTTTTAATTACTGCGGTTTCTTGAAAAGCAATTATTTAAAAATATTGAAACCATTGTAATCTATTAATGCAGTAGCATGTGTATATATATATATATATATATATATATATATATATATATATATATATATATATATATATATATATATATATATATATATATATATATATATATATATATATATATATATATATATATATATATATATATATATATATATATAATTATCAATTAATACTACTAATTAATACTCAACATAAAAGCATTGTAAGTGTTTCAAAGGAAAGAATAATAATTGTAAAACTTTTAATATGAGAAAATAAATTACAGAAAAATTTCGAATTGTTAGAAAACACAATATTGCGGTAAGAAACATCAACCTCTTTGTTCTTGAGGAACTCATTCAAATAAAGGGGATGGAAACTACTTTTTTTAGAACAGTTTCTTTTATCATAACTGGAAATAAAGATGAACATTAACCAATTAGAAACAAAGTTGTTAACCATATGTGTAACAAAATACAGGATGAAATAACAAGATATTTGAATATGTCAATTTGAACGCATATTTGTAAAACTAAAATGCTTAAAGATGATTGAGATAATTGGATGCGCTTCATTTATGGATCTAGATATCCAAGTATACAGCAAATACGGAGTGAGAACAAAATGGATGACCTACACATGCAGTTACGGCTAAATAAGTTAATTATTCTATATTTCTAGACAACTTAACTGCAATCCGCTTTGATGCTGTGATTGATTTACAGTTTAAAATTTAGTGCATTTACTTATATATCTATTTCACGAATTTTAAATACTGTTGTTTAATTTCAATTATTCACGAATTTTAAATACTGAAATAGATTTTAAAATTCGTGAATATACAATTATTCACGAATTTTAAATACTGTTGTTTAATTTCAACTCTCTCTCTCTCTCTCTCTCTCTCTCTCTCTTTTTATATATATATATATATATATATATATATATATATATATATATATATATATATATATATATATATATATATATATATATATATATATATATATATATATATATATATATATAATGTATATATACATATATCCTTATAGTGTAGTCGAAAGAGACTTTTATGTTAAAAAAAAATTTCTTTCGACTACAATTTTTTTACCTTGTCTCTTAAGCTGCATTTTATTGTCGAAAGTTTTTTTAAATTAGTGGTGTTTTTGTTTTTGTTTTATTAAAAAACATTTTTAAAATATGCGTAAGTGTTACTACATCGACTATCTTATAGCCTGCTGCTACAAGGGAGTGTTGCTACATCGGCTATCTTATAGCCTGACTCGCAGTGGAGTGCTGCTACATCGACTGACAAAAAGCCTGACTCGCAAGGGAGTGCTGCTACATCGACTGAGGGTTTGGTTTGGGCAGGCAGTCTATCATTAAAAAAAAAATTTGTGTAGTTTTTTAACATTTTCTGGTCAGGCTTATCAACGCGCTCTTTAAAACAACAGTTTATGGGAAAAACTTTGTGACTGCCATACAAGTCTATGTATATATATATATATATATGTATATATATATTATATATATATATATATATATATATATATATATATATATATATATATATATATATATATATATATATATATATATATATATATATATATATATATATATATATTATGTATACATACATTTCGTTTATTAATAATGCCTAACTTTTTGTAAATTGATTTTGTAAAAAAAAATTAAATAATGTTCATATTAAACAGAGTCGCTTCTTTAATGCTTTTGATAAGCAGCAATAATTAAAACGTTAAAAAGTATTGTAAAAATACATCAAAGTTGTAAAATATATTTTGCCGCAATATGGGAGTAAAAATTTAATATGAGACTTTTACTGGAGGGTAAAAGAAATGCGGCATTTAAAATCTCATACTACACCAGTAATATCTAGGAGTTTCGCAAGTTTTAAACACGAAACTTAAGCTTTAAATGAGTTTTGTAAAATTAGGAGGGATGGTATTTCTAACAAGTAAAGCTGTTTGTTGGCTTTATTCTGACCATATTCTGCGGGTCATTTTTCTATGTAAACAGCGATACAACCGAAGAACTCACATATTTATTAGAGAAATATGCAGACTCGCATATTAATTACAGAAAGCGTTATTCACAACAAATAATAGGAATGATTAAAAAAAAAATGTTTACGTAAGTTTAAGCTTTATGTGAGGTGAGATGCTAAATGGACCAGTTATATAAACTTTAAATTGAAACGGCTTTTATATTATCGAACAAGGAGAGGGGGGGGGGGGATCTTTATAAATAGAATGGTCTGAAATATAACAATAAAAATCTAATTAACAGGGGAATCTTAATAAACACTGTTTATTAAACAGAAATAAGAAAATATTTCAAAACATAAAACAGTCCGCAGTTTTTTTAAACATGTAAAATGGTATAAGATATTAGGCAACAGTTGAACACCATTAATTAAATATATATTATTTTAAAACATTTAAAAAAATTTAACAATAATATAAAAATTCTTAACTGATGTTTTAAAACAACAAACTTTTGAAGATAAAATTTTCTCAACATTTTTTATGGCTGCAGAAAATAAAATTAACAACAAATAAAATTAATCATAAGTGATTCTGAATAAAAAATGGTGTAGCTCTTTAGATGTCACAAAGTTTACCTCAAGAGGTAACATTACTATTTTTCCTATAATTGTTGTTTATTGAAAATTATGCTTATTTATTGTTTTTTTTATTTTAATTATCATATAATAAATGAATCAATGTATACTTATACATTTTTAATATTTGAGAAATCTTTTGTATGGTTTACGCGCAAAAAATAACGCGCAATCCATGACATAAAATCAGTGTATTGTAAATCAACTTACATTAATAGGGATATGAGCAGTTGAGTAAACATAAATTGACTGAGGATATATATTACAAATGATACTTGTAGACTATGTTAGTTGTTTCAATGACGTCTTTTTTACGTTTCGAGCCTATAAAATGTCTACAAGCATCATTTTTAATATATATCCTCAGTCGATTTATGTTTACTCAACTGCTCATATCCCTATTAATCTAAGTCGATTTACAATACACTGTTTTTGATATCTTTCATAGATACTTCTGTAGTGGCTTTAATAAAGTGTAGTGGGTATAATAAAGTAGGACTTATAAATTGTGTAAAAAATTGTTCTTATTTTCATTCGAGTGGGAAAGAAGCGCGCTTGATCTCTTCATAAGAAAGAAAACTAAAGCATTTAACGCTTTAAAACTTTTATAACAAGTTTTAAAACATGTTTAAAAGTGTAACATTTTTCTTAGGCAGGAACAATTTTCTAAGCTTTTAAAACAACTTTTAAAAGGTTGCAACAAAATTCTAAATTAACTTTTAAATTGTAAAATTTTCAGAAAATTAAAACAGAATACAAAAGCCAGTTTAACAATAACGTTAACAGCTTTTTTTAATTTTGAAGCTTTTCTTTTCATTAGCTTTCATAAATATGGCATTATCTTCAGATTTCCGCTAAAAAAAATATTAATTTATATACCCAAAGACGTAAAATAAGATTAAGAATTAAAGAAAAATCTTATTTTACGTCCTTGATATACCTTATGCGCAAATAAGTCACATACGTACATACATATTGAACCAATAAGGAGAACCTGATTGAACGCGATAAAATTCAGCACCATCAAATAGTTAATTACTCAAAAATTAACTAACATATTTTTGCAAACACGGAAGTTAATGTGTTGTTTGACTATAATGGTAACAAGATCATTATATTTAATGAAATTAGCTTTCGATAAAAAAAGACTATGAATAATTGGATCCAGAAAAGAAAAGAAAGATCCAGCAGATGTCAAGTACTATGATTAAAAATGTAAAAAATTATTGACATGAATAAACTAGCTTTATCGTCAAAATTTGCAAACATCTTTTAAATAGCTTTAGAAAAATTAGCAATTACATGGCGTTAAATTTTGTGTTTAACAGATAAGTGAATTTATTATTTAGCAACACAGTAAGTACGCAGTAATTTATTTCTTAGAAATATTCAATATCCTAAATACTACAAAAAGCATAATATTAAAGATAGTTATCAATTCAACGGATATATAATTAATGCTTTTATAAGGTCTTAATAAATCGCAATATTACATAAATTAAAAAAATAATCATTACACAGCTACCATAATATTACTTAAGAAAATATTTTGTTTTATAACTGTTATAATGAGATTTAAAAAATAATGCGAAAAAATAAAATCAAATGTTTTTCTTCTTTTTATTAGATTAAAATGTTTAACTTATCGTTTTTTAAACTTTAAAGTTTCCTCAGGGGTACCGGGACCCGATGGAGAACTTGGTGAATAATCCATTGGCGATATATTTTTAGCAGCAGTACCTGAAAACCCTCGACCGTCAGGAGAATAGGTTGGAGTTCCGTCAGGTGAATATGTAGGTGTACCAGGACTATAATCGGGTTCCAATGGGCTGTAATTAATAGAACCAACCGACTTATCTGTAGGGGTACTAGGAGAGTAGGTCGGCGATGCAGGACTATACTTTGGACTTGTTGGAGAATATTGGGGAGTTGTTGGACTATATTTTGGACTTGAAGGAGAATACTCAGGAGACGTTGGACTATATCCTGTTGATGTTGGAGAATATGCTGGACTTGTAGGAGAGTAAATTGGTGATGTTGGACTATATTTAGGTGATGTTGGGCTATATTTAGGAGAAGTTGGGCTGTAAGCTGGACTTGTCGGCGAGTATACTGGGCTGGTTGGTGAGTATGCAGGACTTGTAGGTGAATATGCTGGACTTGTCGGCGAGTATGCAGGGCTTGTTGGAGAGTATGTTGGACTTGTCGGTGAGTATGTAGGGCTTGTTGGTGAATAATTAGGAGATGACGGAGAGTATGATGGTGACGAAGGACTGTAGGATGGAGATGTTGGGCTATATTTAGGTGAAGTAGGAGAATACTTAGGAGATGTAGGACTATACTTAGGTGAAGTAGGCGAGTAGCTTGGCGATGAAGGAGAATAAGAAGGTGACTGAGGAGAATATGCTGGACTCGTAGGAGAATATTGAGGAGAAGAAGGACTATATGAAGGAGATGTTGGACTATAACTAGGTGATGTAGGAGAATATTTTGGACTGGTGGGAGAATAAGATGGACTTGTCGGAGAATAAGATGGACTTGTCGGAGAATAACTTGGAGACGTAGGGCTATAAATAGGTGAAGTTGGGCTGTAACTTGGACTCGTTGGACTGTAGCTCGGTGATGTAGGAGAATAACTTGGGCTAGTTGGACTGTAACTTGGTGACGTAGGTGAATATGATGGAGAAGTAGGAGAATAGCTTGGCGATGTTGGACTATAACTCGGAGACGTAGGAGAGTAACTTGGACTAGTCGGACTATAGCTTGGTGATGTAGGCGAATAGCTTGGAGAAGTGGGGGAATAGCTCGGAGAAGTTGGACTATAACCAGGTGATGTTGGACTGTAGCTTGGACTTGTAGGACTATAACCTGGAGAAGTTGGACTGTATAAAGGAGATGTTGGCGAATACCCAGGAGATGAAGGAGACATTGCTGGTGATTGTGGATTGAAAGCAGGAGAATTTGGAGAGTAACTTGGACTCATAACATTTCTTGAAGGGCTCGGTATGTATGGTGAGGAATCAGGTGATCCTAAAGACATAGAATCTTGTGGACTCCAAGCAGGACTAAAACCACCAGCAGGACTGAATCCACTTGCATCTGAATGAGCCGATGGTGAAAAAGATGCTGCTCCAGGTGTCATTCCAGATCCTAAAGCTGGTGACCAACCATCTCCATAACCAGGTGTGTGTCCCTGATTCCATGGAGTCATCTGGGGTGACATAGCATTTGATGGAGAAGCTGCAGAGCCAAAAAAAACACCACCACCTGATAAAAATAAAACTGATAGAATAAGCAAAAATGTTTGAAAAACAGTTTAATATTCTTGATATAATAATACAGTTCTTAATATATAATACAGATTAATATTCTTAGTTCTTAAGAATAAGATTAAGTTTTAAATTGTATAGTGCTGTATAGGTTTGTATTTACCTGGCATCATTCCATGGCCTTCTCCAATATTTAATGGGATTTCCATGCCTTCTTTACATTTTTCAGCGTCTAGCATCAAGTTGAAGCAGCCAGTACCAATTGGCGGTAATTGACCAAGAATAATATTCTCACTTACCCCACGCAAATTATCTGCTTCTGCATGAAATGCAGCCTCAACCAAAACATCAACCTTAAAAATTTTAACACATTTAAATCATGTTTCAAATTTCAAATTTGAAAAATTGAATTTTTATTTAAAAAATAAGCTAAGATAAAAATCTATGTATGTATGTATGTATGTATGTATGTATGTATGTATGTATGTATGTATGTATGTATGTATGTATGTATGTATGTGTACATTAGGGTGACAATTTTCTTTGCACTTTTTTAACTTTTTTTAATAAATGCAAATACACTGTGTAAATACCTGTTTTCCATCAATATACTAGCTTATATTAAAAATTTTAGTTAACTAGGATCTTTGGAACAGCTAGATGTATTTTTTTAATAGCTCGAATAATAATTATTTGCCAATATATACTAATAAACATATGTAAAGAAACAGTTGTTAGTTTGGATAATAATTGTTTTTATTATTAACTTCAATCTAAGGTAATTAAAAAAAAAGTTTAACAAATGCTGCATGTTTTCATTTCACTTAACAATATTTATTTAAAATTAACATCTTGATAAACATTTTTTTAAATCTTTTTTTGACTTTCTTGAGTAATCTGCAAAACATTTTGTCTCTGATCCTCAGAGTGAAAAGTTCACAAACTTTTGTATAAGTCCAATATCATTTGTGACACTGAGGTGTTTAATAAAAAGCACAAATTTCTTGTATGAGGTTATCGATTCTTTTACTAAGTCTAAAACGACAAAAAAAAAACTTTACCATGTAACAAGTTCACAAAGCTTAGTATTTTCATCTACTAAAACAGGAAGTGATTTCTCTTTATTAATTTCACTGTTACAAACCTTGTGCTCCAACAAGCCCTTAAAAATAACAGAATTTATTTGATTTTAAAGGTCTAAATCAGCAAGAGCCATGACTACTGACCAAGGCAAAAGATACCTGGAGTAAGATTTTAAACTGTTTAAAAGTGAAGTTAATAAACCAAATCCCATTCCTATTTTATGATTTTTGCTTCTTTGAATGAATTAAAGTCATACAATACTGTATGTTCAGCAAGATTGAATTTTAAAAACCATGCAGCAGGCTTTGAATTGTTCAATACAATTCTGTCTAATTTTAATTTGAGTTGTTTTGTTCTGTAGTTGATGACCTCATAATGCTACAATCTGAATGTTTCTTTGTTAATCATAATTTTATTCACATCTACTCCTAGATATCATACCATTTATCAACATGATTTGACTTCAATAGTTTAACCACTCCTTACATTGAGAGGAGCTACAATGTAAGGCCTAATGGCCTTAGACATTTTGAGCAGTTTTTTTATTGATAAGGATTGAATCAGATCTAAGCATGAGTGGTACATTGCTTTTTGTCTTTTTTAGTGTTGTCTGATATTTTTTGCATTTTCATCAGAACTATAACTTGTGTTATCTACTATTAATGCCAGATTAGATAGATCTACAACAATGTTAACAAAAAATGAAAATGAAAAGGATGTTCACAGTTTATTCTATAATGCAATATAGAACACACATGTAATAATATACATTTTAATTTTTTTCATGATAAAAATTCACTGATTCAGATATATATTTTATCTCTTTTGTTTAATTTCCATTAGCATTTTAAATTGAGAGTTACAAAAATTTTGAATCTAAGTTCTTATAATTATGATATTGAGCATCTCCACTAAGTAATAGTTCTTATAATTATGATATTGAGCATCTCCATTGCCTCTATTGACATTTCTTTTCTTATACCTTATCTGTATACCTATAGTATCTCTCTTGTATAAGTTCAATTTTTGAGATTTTTTTAAAGTATTCTTCATAAAATGCCTGTTTACAAAATGTTTTCTAACATTTTTTTTAAAACCTTCCACAAGTTGCTAATTCTCTTTTCTTTCTTTATTTCTTGGCATATTTTGAATGAGTAGTATAAGCTTTAATATTGGGTTTTCTAATGTCAAAAAGACTTTCAATGATTGATTGAAATTCCAAACTAGCAACTTTCCCTTGGTCATTGATACCCATTTTTTGTGAATTTTTACAAATTTTGATGTTATCCTCTCCAATAACATGGTTTTTTAAAACCACAGGATTCCCAGATATTTACTATTTTTCCAAGAAGACACAAATATCCATTTTCCTGATAACATGTTGTTTTTCCTTTGGATTTCAATATAACATAAACAATGTTTAATGTTTTTTTTTGGTTATATTTAATTTAAAGACAAATTAAATTTACTTGATGTCATTACTAAATAATAGATTAAATACCTTTTACAATGTAGTTTTATTCTATTCATTTATTAAAAAATTAAACATTACATTTCTTTTCAAAATAATACATTTTGATGAAGTAAAAAAATATCAACGACGAACCAAGAAAATTTGAAATAGTGGTTAATCGTCAAATCATTTGATTTTTACATTTAGCACCAATTCTAGTCCTTAAAACAAAGCAAAAACAGTTTTAATATTGTTGAAGGGCATAGAAAATAATTAGATGCAGTGTTAATTTTTTTTGGAAAAAAAATGCATTATACATATATTGTATGAATGTATGTATAGGTAAAAGATTACTACATCTATCCAACAACATCTGTCAAAGATCACCTATATTTTTATTACTCAAAAAACATCTGTCCATTATTATCTAGAAATTCAATGACCCCTAACAACATCATTAGGAAGATGTAACTTTTGGGAATTTTTCTTTAAGTCCAATAACATCTACAACTTTGATAAGACACCTTTGATAAGACTTGCTTTTCTTCTGCCTTAAAATAGTCAACAATAGAATTGAGAATTTGATGTACTTTGCATTATTTTCTTTGTTTTTTCATATTTACAATATCTTCAAAAACAAATTGATATATCCTGGTTACTTTATCTGATCCTTTTGATTTTTTTCAACATTTTATTATACTAATACACTATCTTACAACTTTTCAAAATATATGACATTATATATATATATATATATATATATATATATATATATATATATATATATATATATATATATATATATATATATATATATATATATATATATATATATATATATATATATATATATATATATATATATATATATATTAGGGTAGTCCTTATTTTTAAACTTTCAAATTGTTTAGTTCCTAACTCCATTTCTTGTTCCAATTGCTAAAATGCGAAATTTTAGCGTAATCGGACAACTGTAAGTCGAATCTCATCGTCCATGAAGTTTTGAAATTTTTGTTCTGAGAGTCATTTTTGAGGTGAAAAGTTCAAAATATGACATTTCAAAAACTGTTTGTGCAAAGTGACTTTTGGATTATCTTCTTTTTAGACAGTAAAATGGCATCAAGTTCATCACAGAAGTTAAGAAAAGATTTTCATGTCTGTCTTGTTGGCTACATTTTAAATCAAATGGTAGGAGCCAAATTGACTTCGAGCTAGCAAGTTTTACGCATTTTCTCTTCTGCAATGTAGGAGTTGTAAAGCTTACAACAAAGGAAAGTGCAATACTGGTAATTTAAGAAATTTCCATTTTTTGGCAAAAAGCACTAATTCCTATTAAAAGAACTGAACACTGTGTTAAGAAGTTACTGAAACTGTATGACGAATGGAAATGCTTACAAAAGAATTTGACGAGAGGTGCAGGCAAAGACAAAGAAAAAAGAGATATCTTTGTAGACAATATGGATGATCTGTTTGACATAGCTCATTCAGAAGCTTTGGAACAGATGAAAAATGAAGAAGATAAGAATTTCTTAATCCTTCAGCGCCAAAACGGACGACCAGGGTCTATGCTTGGTGTGGATCAGAAACTAAAACACAAGGAAGAAAGGACACTGAAGCGCACTGCAATGGAAAGATAACGATCCAGGAGATGCCAGGAGAAAAAGGACTTTAAAAGACAGAAGAAATGGAACAACAAAATTCAGGCACTTGGCTGTGATATGACAGCAAGCAGCACAGGTTGAGTAAATGGTGCCTTTCTACAAACCTAGAAAAATTGTTCAATTGTGACCTATTGTACCTCCTTTGCCATCACCACATTTTTGAGTTAGTTTTGAGGAGCAGTTTCGAGTCACTGATGGGTGCAACTTCTTCTCCAGACATAGCACTTTTCAAAAGATTTAAAGAAGCAAGGACAAAGCTTGACAAAAACGTTTATAACTGGTAGTAATGAAGTGCCTGATGATGTCTAATCTACCATTCTTGGATTTGTTGAACACTACCTCTACACAAAAACAGCAGAGAGATGATTACAGAGAATTGTTGGAGTTAACAATGATCTTTCTTGGCAGCATTCCGAAGAACGGAATATCGTTTTGTATACCAGGAGCTGTAAGTCATGTTAGATGGATGTCAAAGGCAATTTATGCATTCAAGATATACCTGTTTCAAAATCAATTTCAGTTATCACATACGAAGTAGTAAGCGACCGGGGCCAGGGCCTCGGTCATCATCATCATCATCATCATCTTAATCATTGGCATCAACAAGTGAGAGGGAGTTCAAGGTTTCAAAGTTAATACAAAAAGATGGCATCAGACTTACAACACAGAATGTTGAAACACTTCTTTTTTTAAAATACAATTTAAGGGCTCTTTCTTATTCAACATATTTATGTGATGCCCCTGAAGACTTTACACCACCTAATTCAAAATAGTATGATGTCTGGGACACAGAATCATCAGAATCAGAGGAAGAAACTTAAATTATTATAAAGTGTCTTATTTCTTATTTGTCATTGTAAATATTTATGAATTATATTATATTTGTATATGTTACTTTTGTGACTTTTTCTTATATTTCCTTAAACTTTCACAAAAAATTTTAACTTGACAAAATTTTTAAAAAAAAAAGCAACAAAAACAACAACAAAAATCCAGCCCAGGGTTTGCAAAAACCTGTGATTTTAGCAGGGGCCGGGGACCCGGTCACTTACTAATACGAAGAACTCTTTAAGAAGAATATGTATGTTCCTTGCTCGAATGTATGTTCGAGCCTGGTTTCTATCATCAGAAGCAATTACAACACCATAGCATGATTTCCTATTCATGTGCCAACTGATTAATTATTGAGACATAGATCCACAAATCAGTAAGGTTGATACAAAGAAATTTTCCAGTCACCTCAAAAGTGGAATTGAAAAAGTTAAGAAAATAGTGGTTGTGAATGATGTTGCGGAAAGAGGAGTCAAACTCATTCAGGATTATAATAACATTCTCACCAAAGACGAAACTGAGAAACAATTTGTTTTACAGATCGTTGCCCGAGACCATAAAAAGTATCCAACTGCTACTAAATCCTGTCTTATGAAACAGTTATGTTCAAGGTTTATTGGTTCACATTATGTTTTGATTCTATGAACATTGTTGCTGTACATGAAAATAATTTTGCTTTATAGCTTTTTGGTGTAGTAAATAAGAACATGGTCAATATAGACAAGAGTATGTCCATTTTGAACAGAATTAATCATTATGCATATTATGTTCCAACTTAAAGGCGTTTGAGGGTCACTTTGCAGTTGTCTAATTGAGCTGAAACTTTGCACAATTCCTTATTTGGTTGATTGGAACAGGATCAGGGGTGCAACATTTTCACTTTTAAAAATTTCAATACAGCTAAGGGCCACCCTAAAATATATATATATATATATATATATATATATATATATATATATATATATATATATATATATATATATATATATATATATATATATACATATACACAGCCTGAAGTCATACTAAAATAAGGAGCTGCTGGGGACTTCAGTAGATACAGTAACTGACTAAATATGGATAACATGCAAGGGAATGCCACTACATCTATTAAGTGTTTAGTTTGGGGCAGCAATTGCAATTTTCTTAATTTTTTTCTTATTATTATTCCAAAAAAAACTGTAAGGAGTTGGGTTTGCAAAAAATATCATTAAATATATATCTATATACATTTGGTGAGATATATTTACTATATAACTATAGTTTGCATGCTATAGTTACATATGTATAGATGTATGCATGTGTGTGTGCGTGTGTGTGTGTGTGTGTGTGTATTTATGCATGCATTTATGTATGTAAGGGGCAAATTAAATGTGATAATTAAATGTGATAATAAAATTAAGTGTGATAAAGTGATGAACTGCAATATCTGGAAAAATTTCTTATCTTTAAATTCTACGTTTTACCATTCTCATTAAAAACTATGAACACTGTTTTAAAAAAAAGGGTCAATACATTATATTGAAATAATGTATGAAAAAACAAAACAATAAATTAAAGACTGCAAAATTAATAACAGTCAATTTACTAAATTTAATTTATTGTTTGTTTAAACATCATTTTATTCAAGTATTATAAATAAAAAAACAATGTTAAAACAATAATTATAAAAAGTCTGAAAAATAAAACCAACCAATTAAAAATCTTACCAAAACTGTTTGCGCATTGTACCCAACATTAAAATTCATTTTTAGTTAGAGGGAAACTTTGAAGAGTTATTTATTTAAAAAATTAAATGTTTTAAATTGGGCATAAATTAATTTATAATAAATATAATAATAAATAAATATATGTTAATATATATGTTATTAGAGTTTTTTAGTTTTGTATTAACTTCAAAGTTTTTTATAGTTGTATTTGTATATTTTTAAACACCTGTCTTTAATTTTATACAATTATCTGTGCTCGAGAGTTTGACTGTTGTGATTTGCAGTGGTTTCACTTTTAATATTGCATTGTACTGTATGCTTTGTTTTTGTAGTTTTATTTTATGATTTGTCAAATGAATCAAGATATTAAAGTTTAAATCATGATTATTATTAATAATAATAACAATAATAATATGATTTTATAATGATATTATTTATTATAATTTCAAGACCAATGCAAAAATACTATTTTAAAATAACAACTATTGAATGAGATAAAAACAGCGTTTACAGTTTTTAATAACCTCAAAATTTAAAAATCAGAAGCATTTCCAGGTAGTGCAATTTGCAATCACTTAATTTGCACCCGTATGTATGTATTTATATAAAGTTAAAAAAAAACTAACAGTTTCTTCAAATGAACATCTCATTAGACAACCAACTTCTTGCCTATTAATACCATGACGAGTAATAGCCATCAAATGACCTTTGGATGTCATTATATCACACAACAATGACAAGTGTCTGTAGTTAACATAAGAACCATCAAATGAAATAACGTGATCCATTTCCTTTTCAATTGATTTCCTTACAGCTTCAATACCCAAAATCTACAAAGTAATGTTTAAATACATTGGAAATTTCTATAACATTTTTTTAAAGGTTTTATTTCTAAAAAGATTACTTATAAAATTATATTTTTAAATTTACATTTGAAATGTTTACACTAAGATTAAACTAGACAAAAAAAAATAAAATTCTGGCACTAAATAATAAAATATAGAAAAAACTCATATATTTTATCAAAAGGAACAATGCTTTAGTTAAAAACAAACTCACAGAGAAGATTTCACATATATCATTGGAAGTAGTTCTCACTGGATCAATGTCTTTTTGACTTAGAACTTTCATTAACCCATTACCATCTGTTTCTAAAATCCATTCTTGTAAATCTAAAAAAACAAATAAAACAACATAGTTGCATTGTCAAAGCAACTTTTATTTCTATCAAAACAAAAAATATGAAAAATACTAACGCTTAAATTCTCCTTCAGCATTAAAGATTACACGCTTTTTAGATTCTTCACTTGGCAAATGCATGTAAACTTTAGCAATAGATTCTATTCCTTGTAAAGTCATATCTGTCAACATATTAGCTTCAATGCATCTTAAAAACACATCATCTTCCATTTTGTCTAACTGCTCTTCATCCTTAGAATAAGAACAATTTGAGTTCAATCAAATTACAATTTAAGTTAAGTAAGTCAATATTAATAAGTTTAAAAAGGTTATAAAGTTATTAATAATAGACAATATATTTTTTACTCACTTCCATATTCTTACTATCATCACCACTGCCCATAATTCTTATTCGAAGGACTAATTTCTCAGCATTATCGTCATTATATATGCAGTTTAAATCATCTCCAAAACCCTGGTTAATCTTTTCAGCAATTTGTTCCATACTTAACTTGCTGTCTGTCATTCTCTTACGATCTAGCTCTATACGCAATAACCATGGAGACATACGCGCAGGATCAAAATCAGGCATTTCATAATAAACATTAACAAAATCTTGATCTTCTGCAATAACTGTATTTTGTGGATCTGGATCATAAAATATAGCTGTGTTAGCTGTAACCTTTCGTAGAGTTGTATGTTCCAAGCGACAAAGGACATCCTGTAAAAGAATAAATTTAATTTAACACTAAAAGTGGTTATTATTCAGTAAACACTGGTTATTATTAATTACTTAATCATCAGTAATACTGGTGAAACAATCTGTCTTAAAGTTAATTTAGAAACATTTAATATGAAATATTTTAATATGAAATCATTAAATGTATAATTTTTATAATTAAATAAAAATAATCATATTTATTTAACACATTTATATTTAGCAATATACTTATTTATATTTATTAAACACATTTTTTCGCGATTTAATACTTTTTTTTCTTAAAAGAAAATTAAAGTATTAAATCGTGAGAATATTATTCAAACATATTTTTAATATTTATTGTTTTCAGAGAATGTAGTTTCAAATGCATGATTGAAATTCTTGTAACACAAACTAACGAAAAAGGTTATAATTAAAAAAAAAGAGATAGAGGAAGAGGGCTACAAAACATACATTGACTGCAAGTTTAGACAGTAAGTCTGTATAACAAAAATAATGATAAATATGGGCAATTCCACGAGAGTGGCGGTTGTAACATTTGACACACTTTACGTTATTAAAAATGAACTAAAAACGGAAATGACTTGAAACTTTCCAGAAATGTGAAAAACTATCATATAATTTTGTATGTAAAAGTTGCAGCATTAAAGTCTTCAGTTTTTTTCAAAAAATAAGTAACATGACAGTCATAACGCTTACTTTTTACCACTTCTGAACAAAACAACTTTTTCAGACTTAATGCAGCGAACAACATGGTACAAAAAAATCCTTTGGTGTGTGTATTTAGCACATATTGATGTTATTATATGCTGAGTTTCATAGTTTTCACTTGAATTTTTACAAGCTTTTTTGAGAATTACGCAATGATGTAAGAAATAAAGTATAAATAATTATTACCAACCATATGCAGCGCCGTGCTGTAACTTTTGGGGGCCCTGTGCAGAAACTAAAAAAAATTTTTTTTTCCTTTCAATTCGTAGTAATTTATGGTATTGGAGAAGTTTTTCTAATGTATTTATAATAGGGGACCCAGTGCGATTGCACTTGTTGCACTTGCGATAGTACGGCGCTGACCATATATATGTTAAAAAAATGCAATAAAACATTAAAGTTTTCAATCATGGATATATGGTACAATTTTTAACACTACAAAACAGAACTGTAAATAAGCATCAAATCACGTTTTTGCGACCTTTACAACTTTGAAACCATGCTATGGTATGATAAAATGATTTTTTTATATAACTTTTTTGCTTAAAAGTACTTTAAAATGGTTAAAAAAAATTTTTTTGAGTTTAGTATATATCCATAAATATATCCATAAGCTATGAAAATTCAAAATGTATATTTTAAATTTAAAGATGTTTATTATTTCATAAAATAGTAACAATGCACCGAATGTTCACTAGACATTTTGGAAATATACTTATACATTACCTTAGCATGTTCAGCATCTCTTGCAGCTTGACCAAGTAGGAAAACTGTAAGGGAAGGAGTTTTGGGTTTCTTAGAAACATTTATGATTTCTTTTAACCGTGGGACACCTAATGTTACATTTTTTGCAGAAACACCAGCATAATGAAAAGTATTTAAGGTCATCTGAGTTGCAGGTTCACCAAGAGATTGAGCTGCTAAAGCACCAACCATTTCACCTGGTTGTGCCTAGAAAATAAATATTTAACTTTTGAATGCTTTTTTAAACATTCATTCTATTAAAAGTCTATAAAAATATAACTTTCAAAAACAATTCAACTTTGATTACAACTAATAAACAACAAAAAAATATTCACAATTTACAAATACAAATTAATAATTGTAAAAAATTTATATTGTTAACCTGTGCAAGATTAAAACGCGATTCTACTTCACCTAACAACCAATCAAAAGCCTCTGATGTTAATCTAAATTCTTCAATAACCCGCTTTGAACATAAAGTTGAACGCAGATGAATTTGAAACAACATAGTAGCATTTAGCTGTGCTTCTTTGCTTAATTTGTCCTCACCTTTTACAACCAGCAACCTCTTGGTCAAATCTTTAATATCATTGATCACTTTTAATGGAGAAAGATCAGTTTGAGCTCTAAGATTAACTTTAAACATTTTTTGTGAATTCCATATCAGTCTAGATAGTTTGACAGGTAAGTTAACCTACAAAATAAAATAAAAATTGTGAAAGTAAAAATAAAACATTAAACTCCTTTAAAATCAAAAAAATTTAATAATTTAAACCTTTTTATTTCCGTTAGGGAAAATGTTTCTCAGCATTTCACGATCATCTTTCAATTGACGAAACTCTTCCTCAATTGCATTAGTCGTTGTAGAATCTGAGTAAATATTTCTTAAAACATCTTCATTTAAAACATTCTTTAGTCGCCTACAAATTATTTAAAAATCAATTTACTAACGAATAATACTAAAATATCTATTAATTTTAGAGTATATTTCTTTTAACAAAATAAATTTAACTATTTCAAAAAAATTATATAAATGTGGCTAATATTATTGTATTAGCCACATGTGACATAAACTGTTTATAAGCTACATGGGAACAAGTACTTTGTTTGGACATTAAAATAAAGTTAATTTTGAGTAAAACTAAAACTGTAATTGAGTTTTAGGTCCTTTGTTACACTAGAAATTAATTTCATTTTAACTCCAAAAAAAAAAAAAAAAAAGTTTAAACCATGTAGCTTAAAAACTTTCATTTTACATACAGCTAATACAGTGATACTAGCCACATTTGCCAGTTGAGATTTAAATGAAATTTATATTTTTAGTCAGACAAATGATAAAGGTCTCTTGTATCCAAAAGCTTTAAAAATGTTGGGTTACTTGTAATAAGAAAAAAAATCACAAGATTCAATGACTCGGAGCTAATTATTTTTAGGCCGATTGTCCTGGAGTCTATGTCACTATTATATATAAGAACTTCAAGTTCAAATTACTTGCTCCTCTAACCTAGAAGTTCTAATTTTTTTCTTAAAAGTAGTCTAAAAACTTCTTTACCTTTTTGCAGCTGATGGATACTAAAAATCAGGATTAAATAATCTTTAAATAATAAATTGTGACTTTTTGAGATTCATTGCATCCATGGTTACTAAGCTGGAAAAAAGTTTTCACAAAAATTAGAAAGTAACAGAAGGTCTAACATTGTATGATATAAGTAATACTGTAAGTAATGTAAAACATACTAACTATAATGGGCCACTGAGTC